GGGGTCCCTGAACCCCTGTTTACTGGAGGCAGAAGCATCCTTAGCGAAGGGGGAGGTGTGATGTGCAGCATCCTTCCAGCTTCGGCGCTTTGCTCCTCGCTCGAGCGTGCCCCAGGCGCAGGGAGGGATGAGCAGGGTTTGCTCCTCAGCCTGGAAGGGACTAATCCTGCCCGCTCAGGAACGGCCGATCAACAAGAGATGCTTGAGAAGCAGAGGGTGAAGAGGCAGGTACACACGGGACGTGCTTCTGGCTCTTCAGGTACGATAATTAATTCACCCTGATGAATTTTTTTCATCCTGATGCTGCTCAGGAAGACGAGAGCTCCCGGCACGCTCAGGTCCTGGCTCGGCTCTGAGCTCTTCTGCGGGGCGAGGCGTGACCAGGGCCACCGCCGGGAAGAACCTGCGCTGGCTCTTGGGGGAGTTACGAACCATTGGAAAGAGCAGCCGCAAACCAGGAATCGCCCGGTGAGGCCAGCCAGCCACGGGCCCACGCGGAAACGTCACCTGCTGCACACCAGCCAGGCAGCACATCATCGGCGACGCGGGTGACCACACCGTGCCTCTTCAAAGAGTGCACGCTAGAAAACACAAATCTTCTTCTTTCCTGTTTTGTTTTGTTTTTCAGAGAAAACCTTGAGGTATTGGACACAATGTATTGGAACAAAGCTCCGCTCAGGAGATGAATTTACGAAAAAATGACATTTCCCTCCTACAGAGATCCCAAGAAAATTCATTTTTATTTGCCTGAACTATTTGCATCCATCACAACAAGCACCCTAAAACATTCCCAAGGACCAGCAGGGTACACGAGAACCTGCGACCCCGCAGAGTGCTGGATGTGTTATCTCAGCCCTAACGCCTTCCACCTGCCTTCCGAAGAAAGTCTGGAAATCGAGACTCCGTAAGGAGTTTACTCCATTCAAATGCCTTGGGACTTAACCACAGACCAGCTTAAACACGCGACAGCGAATTTCTAATCTTCTACAGAACAAAGATGATCAAAACCCAGAGCGACCTGACTCAGAGAAACCAGCCCGGCGCGGAAGGGGAAGGACAGGGTGACCTGCAGCCCAGCCGACGCGTCGTCCAACGACCCTCCCGAGAGGAACAGAAAATCTGGTGGCAAAAGAAAACCAAGACCTGCGAGGAACCACCCGTATTTGTGCTTTGAAAACCATCGACATGACGTTGGAGGGGAGGAAGAGATATAAAATTATAGGAAATCAACACCGAAACAGATAAAAAAAATTATATATATACAAAAAAAAGTCTAGAGGATAATGCGTGTCCAGTTCCAAACACCGCTGCACAAGTGGCTCTGAAGTCTTCTCCTGGGGAGCGGCGCGCTGCCCTACCCGAGCCCAACGTCCAGGGACATCATCACCACAAAGCCCAGTATCGAGGTCCAGGACGCCAGCTTCCCGTTGCCACTGCAGGGAGGAAAGGGGAAGGCGTCAGCTCCGGGGAGCCGGGGCCGGCTTTTTGGATGAGGGAAGCGCGGCTTTAGATCTCATCCAGGCAAGGGAAAGGGATCTTCCAGAGTCCTCTGCGCTTCCCCCCCGTACCGGTGTCACCGCGGGGGCCTCACCTGGTCTGCGCCTCGGGGATGATATCGTCCATCACCACGTAGACCATTGCTCCGGCCGCAAAGCCCAAGGCGTAGGGGAGGAGAGGCTCTGCCACCACCACGGCGAAGGCACCGAAGATGCCAGCTAAGGGCTCCACCATGCCGCTCAGCTGCCCGTACCTGCAAAAGACCGAGACTAAGAGAGACCGGGGACCCGGTGCGAGGGACGGCGCAGCTCTCCCGTGGGGCGGCCGGGCTCTGCAGCTCCCCATCTCCACCGCCTTCCCTAATGCCACCGTACCCGGGAGGAGGTTGGCCACCCGGCCACGCCAAGCCAAGCCACCTGGATTATTTCAAACAGGCGATGAAGGTGATTCGATCTAACCTGATTTTTCCAGGAAGGGAATTAGGGCGTGATCTGATTCCTTCCCCCCAACAGTTCTGTGGGATTTGGGGATCCAGGTCATGGGCAGGGATGGGTCAGAGAGGAAACATTTCCAACCAGCATAGCTCAATCCCAAAGAGGACATCTGGCCACAGCCTCAACCAGGATGAAATCGTGCCTTTCCCGCTTGTTTTCTTTCCTTCTGGGACTGTTTTAATGCAGAAAACTCTCCAGACCATGGGAACTCCCTTCCCGGCAGCAGCAATCCCGGTGCAAGTCCCAGCACCGGCTGCACTTACTGATTTGGAGGTGGGTGGGAGGAAAAGAAAACAAAGCTTTGGCGGGAGCAGTTTCCAAGCCAGCCCCCTGCCCTCCCATCCATCACCCGGCCGAGCACACGTGCACGGGCAGGAACGCAGCCCTGCACTCGCAGGGTTCATGCCCTTGGCTTTTTCACCTCAGGGAAAAGGGAAAAAAGGAAAAAAGAAAAAGTGGGTTTGAAATCCAGCCCAGAGTGAGGTGAGAGGAAAAAAATGAAACAAAATAAAAATTAAAAACAAAAAATTAAAAAAACCCCTGTTTAGTGCAGGATCTGGGAGCTCACCAGAGGCGCTCAGCAGGCAGCTGAAGTGGGATGGGGTGATCCACCGGGATCACCGATCCATCCCTCGGGAGGCAGGGGCTGGGACCTGAACTCGGGCGCTGTGGAGGGAGCAGGGCAGCGCTCACCACCCTTCCCCAAAGCTGGAAACCACCAGCGCTCCCAGCAGCAGCGCTCGGCGATGCCAGGAGGGGACCCGGCACGTCTGGAGCAAACCCATCCCAGGGGCAGCTCAATGACGGAGCAACGCAAACGGATACGGGGAGGATACGGGAGCTGCTGGCGGAGGGCTCTCATTTCCACGGGCAAAGAGGAGCTCAGCTTACCAGAACGCTTTCCATGTTGAAAATCCAGCGCCGCGCAAAGGCAGGCTGACGGCCAGGCCCTCCGGGAAATTCTGAATCCCAATCCCGATGGCTAAGTTCCTACCCACACAAAAAAGCACAAGGATTTTTATATATAT